TTAGATGTGCATGTCACATCTTAAATTTATTTATTCAAGATGCCTTGAATATTATTTTTACTCATATTTCAAAAATTAGAAATTGAATTATATATATAAAAAGTTCAGGAGCAAGAAAACAATAATTTAAATATTTATGTCAAAATTATGGTTTAAAATATAAACATTTTATATTAGATGTAAAGCATAGGTGGAATTCTACGTATGCTATGTTAGAAAGTTGTATTTCTCATAAACAAATTCTTACTGATTTTTATAATTCAAAAATGCCTAATGATATGATATTTGAGGAAGACTAGGAAATGACAGTCTGTATAAGAGATTTCTTAAAACATTTTTATGATGCAACTAATGAATTATCTGGAATTTATTATCCAACTAGTTATAATTTACCTTATCAATTAATGGTAATTAGTGTTTATTTTGCAAAATACAGAAATAATCGACAAGTTCAATGTATTGTTGAAATAATGAAAAATAAATTTAAAAAATATTGGGAGAACATTTTTCCTCTTTATTGTTTAGCTACAATATTAGACCCTAGGATTAAGAAAGATGATTTAGATATTTTACTTGAATCATATTGTAAAAATATGAATATCGATATAGGAAATAAAAAAGAAGAAATTAATAATTTATTATTTGAAATGTACAATTTATATGAATCTAAAGTTGTATAACATCTTCTATTTCTGACCTTGAGCTCAGTAGTAGAAGAGAAAAACTTTTTTATTTAATAAATAGAAGGCAGAAATCTGCTACTTCTACAATAAGTTCATTTACTGAAATTATTTTTTATTTACAAGCAATTTTTTCTAATTTAGGTGAAGGATCAAATAATTTTGATATTTTAGCCTGGTGGAGTGAACACTTAAAAAATTATCTAGTTCTCGCCGCCATGGCACGTGATCTACTAACCCCTCCAATGTCTACAGTTCCATCGGAGTCATGTTTTAGTGCAAGTACCAGGGTGCTGGATGACAAAAGAAGTTGCATGACAAAAGAAGTTGCTTCAAGGATTGGCTAGATGCAAAAAATAGATTACAAGACAAAGGAGGGCATAATACTACACCGGATATTTCACCTGAAGCAGATGATGAAAGTCATGAATCATGATTCATGAATTTGACTACTTGTATAGAATTTTTTATTTTTTTCAAATTATTGTATTTTTTAATTTATTTGATATTTTATTTAAATTTTTAACAAAGTAATTTTGTATTTTCAATTTGTAACTATATTGTATTTTTTATATTTTATTAATTTATTCTATTTTCATATTTCATTCATCCAAGTATCCAATGATCCAATCATTGTATTTGTAATTTGTACCATTCAAAATTAAGTGAAATAAAATTCTTATTTTTCTTCCAATTTGTTATTCCATCATTCTTATTTCAATTTGGTTAAGTATTTTTTTTTATTTATGTGTTAGATAACTTAGATTTCTCATTTCTTAATTTTTTAAATAGTTCCCAATTCCCAAAGTTCAAAGGAAAGTTAAATATATTAGTTTTACAATTTTACTTAGAAAAGAAATCAAAATTTTCAAAAACAAAAAAAAAACAATGTAGCCCGGTTCGGCACAAGCCCAAGGCCCGCCCTGTGGCCCGGCCCAGCCTAGGCCTGTAGAACGGAATGGCACGGGCCCGTGGGTTTCCAAGTCAATGGTTCAATCGTCCGGTTTGAGCAGGTCAAACCGATAAAATGTAAAATATAATGTAACTTTTGTTTACCATTAGGAAAGGATTAAGTTAAAGTCCACCATATGAGAGGGGAGTGTAAGACTTTGAGGAGTATGGGTAATCATGGATCGAGCCGAGCTGGGTCGGGTTTGCACTATGATAAGGGCTATATCCTAGGACTGGGCCCGAGCTGGATTAGGGTTCCAAACATGAAACAAAAGCCCTAGAACAGGTATATACAGGCTCGGACCAGGCCATGCCTTTGTATAGTTGTAACTTGTAACTATAGGGACGTAAAATGTGCCAAAAAAAAACCATCCATCCATGTCGTTGTAGAAACTGAAATAGTTGGAGCATGAACGTCATCGAAGAGAATTCGAAGATCGCTTGAAAAATGCTTTTCAGGAACGATAACATCCTTACAAAACAAATTGATACCCATGGTAGACCTTAAAGGCACACCACACACAAATTCAACCAAGGCCCAACAGAAATAAGAAAAAGAGCAGAGGGAAAATGAAGACTGAAATGAATAGAACTAAAGATCCCAAGTCTGCTCCATAGGCCTGGATCAAAACCATCATGTCTCAAATCTGTCGAGAGAACCTCTGCAACAAACCCCGATATGAAGAGAAATAAATGAAAAATCACATCCATAGATGTAAGAGAGAAACCCTCACGTAGAGTGAGAGAGAGAGAGAGAGAGAGAAACTCACATCCATAGATGTGAGAGAGAAAGAAGGCTTTATGTCTTTCATATATAAAACATTACATATATATAATATTTTATATTAAATGACATATAACATGCGTATAAACTTATTTTATACATTATATAATATAGAATATTCTATATAATATAAATTATACATGTTATATTATAATATTTATATATAAAAATAATGTAAAATAATGTGTATATATACATACACACATTATACACAAAATGTGAATGTTTAAATATACGTGAGTCGGGTTGGGGCTGAACAAAACCCTAGCCCAAACCTAGAATTTCCGGGTCGGGACAAGCTTAAATGATCACCCCTAAGAAGGAGGCCCTTGGTTAAAGTTGAGAAGTGAGAAAAAAGAAAGAGAAGAAGAAGAAGAAGAAGATAAGGAAGCATCGTCGGAGGTAGTTGTCACCATGTTCATCAAGCATTGTTGAAAAACCATTTGCCCTAAGAAGAAGAAGAAGAAGGAATCAGCGGTGACAACTATTTCCTTGTTCATTATCACCGCGGCTACAACACCGTTTGCCTTCTTCTTAATCTCTCTAAATCTCTAAAAAATCCTAGATCATTTGCTTCATTTGAGTATCTCAGATTTTAATATAAGATCGATGTTTAATCTCTTATCTCTTCCATCGATTTTTCAATTTCTTCATTGGAGTTGCAATTTTTTATTGTTACAACTTAAAAGGATTATAGAAATAAGAAAACCCAAAATCAAAATGGAATAACTAAAAATCCTAACTAATTTTGGCTATTGGGAATAATCAAACAAGATTTTGAGATATGAAAGTTTCTTTTATCATTTTATTTTCCAATTTCTATTTTAAAATAAATAAAAAATTTGGAATTAGTTTGAAAGCAACTTGAGAACCATTAAACGTATCGGACATTTTATCGGTTAAACCATTCGGGTGAACATTCCCTAACCATTTCAACGATTTTTTTTATAAAATAACGGTTCATGGCCAAAACAGAACCGATGACCTAGCCATTTCCCGGGCCAAACATTTCAACTGTTTGATCTGATCCAATTTTTGAAACATTGACTAAAATACTCATTTTTAAATTTAGTCCCTATTTAATTGTAAGGTTTAAATTGTCAATTGAACTATTAATTTTCACCTCATTCAATTCCCTTTATTTAAATTTTACATTTTTTTGATAAATGAACAAAAGAAAAAAATATCTATATCTATACTATATATAAAAGTGTGGATATAGAATAAAATTTTTTTGGATTAAAATTACGCTCTATTTCTTTGTTTGATAAAATGTATGAAAGTCATTTTATTACAGCTTTAATGTCAACTTTTGATGACTACTAAAATGCCCATATTTGTCTATTTATTACATTTCTAATTGTTAGGGTTGAAAGTGTAACTTCAATAATTACTTCCCACCTCACTTAATCCCCTTTCATTAAATCTTATACTTAAAGGTATTAACTCCTACTTCTCTTATTAAATCCTATATTTAAGCTATTTTTCACCAATAAGTTATTTAAGTTATATCAATATTTTTAACAATATGAACCCATATATTTTAAAACTGACTCAAAAACAAAAATATTCTTTATCCAAGTGGTAGTTAAACAATCCAACCATCTGAATCAAATTGATAAACCTGTGCAGTCATAGGTAATAAAAATTTTAAAATAGAAATAAATATAGAAAATTACAAAAATGTAGAAAAAATTAGACATATTAATGATATTTTATTAATCAAATTAAAAAAAATAAGTGCAATAAACAAGAATTATTTTTATTGATAATGAAAATGATATACATACTTTAGAACTAACCAAAAATGAAATTATTTTACTATTTGACAAAGATCAATAGTTCAACTTTTGGGTCAAATGTGTTAACATTTATTGTCATAAATAAATAAAATATAAAAATACATAAATGTTGCAAAAAACATTCAAGCGCATGTGTAATATTAATCAATTATCATATTAAACAAAAAGTATGTGTAACATATCGGAATTACTTTTACACAAAAATATAAAAAATGAACACATCTATAATTCTATATTTACAATACTATTAAAAATATAAACAAGATTGTAAAATTTTCTTTTGACTAAAATACTCATTTTTGAATTTAGTCCCTATTTAATTGTGAGGTTTAAATTATAAATTGAACTGTTACTTTTCACTTCATTCAATTCTCTCTATTTCAATCTTACATTTCTTTGATAAATGAATAGAAAAACACCAAAAAAATATTATAAAAAGAAGAATCTAGCCAAGTAGATAGACATGTCAATGATACTTGAAATTTCACAACTCGATCCAATTATTACATATTTAGACGAGCTGTTTATGTAATCATATTTGGATTTTGCAATATGCATATCGATCTAATTAATAATAAAAACAAAAAGCATATAAAAATAAAAATACATATTTAAAAAAACTTTTTAATACATTATTATTATCATTACCATCATCTAGAATTACCACATTCAAACACATTTACTAATAACTTAAAATAGGGAAAAACTTTTTCAAATGAATATTTGAGGAGTCCAGATCTAATACATATGGCTCCATTCCAATAAATGCATTAGAGTTTAAAATCACTTAAGATTATCATTTGCACTCGTAACATCCCGAATGGATCTAATGAAATTTCGCTTTTCATCAGAAGTAGCCGTGATGACTGGCATCCATACATCAGCAACGCTACTCAAAAGAGATTGCACCAGTGGGTCAGAAGCCATGGCCGAGGATATCATCTCATCTACATAATCTAACTTTGCCGATAACTTGTCCAATTCCCTGGCTATTTCCATCTAAAAGAAAAACAAGAAGATTTAGTACTGTTTACATCTCTGAGAATGAATAGATCAAAACAAAAGTAAATATTTTGATAGCATGCATGAGAAATCAGATTTAGTACTGTTTACAGAGTGCGCCTTATACCAATCTCACAGCTCATCGCAATCATGTATTGGAATGGAAATATTTTCCTAATTCCTATGAATGATAAAGTCAAATAAGGAGATGTTTTCAATATATGGTTGAAATCACTATGAGGTTGGTGTGAGGCGTGTTATATGAGGCTGATTCCATGCAGAAGCAAATCTGGATTCTATCATGAACCTTCAAGTACCTCATTAAGATGCACTGACGGCTTTAATGGCACCTTGGTAATTTCTACCCCAAGTGCTTCAATTTTAGCACGTAATTCAACTTCTTCTCTATTGGTTAATGTTTCTACCTACATGATTCAACTTCTAGGTTAGATTACCATGAGGAACACCAAACAGTGACAAGAAAACAAGAAAACAAGAAAAGGGTGTGCAATGGTACGGAAATCACAGCAGAGAAATAAATATGCTACTCGAATATGATTCACAAGTACATGCACCATTACCACAGATATGAGCGATGCCATGAAATTTTTAAATATATGGAGTCTCAGCAATTATTCCTGTGGAACCATCTTATGGAAAATTTCTTCTAAGAAAAATTCCATTTTATTCTAAGTTCTTTTTCAAATTTATCAACTCTAGAAAATGCACATCAGATTTAAGGGTGTTTACAGTTCAGTTAATCAAACCAAAGGCCTACTTCTGAAACCAAACCAATATTATCAGTTTCTAGAAAATCAGTAATCAAAATTGAATCAAAGCTGATTGGTTAACCGGTTGATCGGTTTGGTTAATCATTGATTTGGTTTGTTGGTCTTTCGGTTTTTTTATATTTATAATATATATTATAAAAAATTAGAAATATATATATATAATATTTTAAATAATAAATAATATATTATATATTATAAATATTTATTAGTTTATAATATAAAAAATATAGAGAAATGCATGTATTCCGGTCGGTTCAATTAACCATTGGTTTTCTATATTGGTAAAGTTTGAAACTGAACTAGTACCTTCGGTTTTTTTTAAAATATCAAACTGAAACCAAACCGATTGGTTCAATTAACTAGATTTTCAGTTTAGTTTTAATCGGTTTTTTGGTTCGGTTTAGCTTTTCGGTTTTTCTTGCTCACCCCTAACCAGATTGATGGGGCATGAAATGTAAGTAGAAAAAAGAATGGGTTAGGTGGTGGATACCAGCCTAAGATTGGGATGTTAGGTGGTAGTTTTATTGGGAATATTTTGGTGAAAGGATTGGGTGCATGCATATCTAGTTTAGCCAAGAATGACATTATAATTCGGGTCTGTTTGATTCATAGTCAAAAATCAGAATCCCTCGTAATTGGAATCTGAACCAGAATGGTCTATCCCCTCACCTGTTTGGTTCAGGATGAAATAGGAATTGGAATCAGAATTGATTAGATTAGATTCTCATTCCTTGGGGAGGGGGAGGGAATGGCCATTCCCTCAAACGGGGGAATGTCATTCCACCAATAATGGGAATAGGATTCCAATTCTACTGAATCAAACAATTGGTCCGATTCTAATTCTAGCCCCCTATTCCCATAAATAAAATGGACCCAGAATTTCTTCTATCTTAAAGTTTTTAAAGAGCCAATGCTAGAAGATTATACAAAACAGCCTACCAGCGGGTTTCACCTCGTTTGAGGCCAATGTTAGAAGATTTGGCAATATCATGCGTTTTGGTCTCTATGGAAGTAAAGGCATCAAACCTTGTTCATTTTCCCATTTATCTTTCTCTGGTTGTGTAGGGATTAAATGAGGTGAAAATCAATAATTAAAATTACATTTTCAACACTCGTAATTAGAGATGAACTAAATACATAAATATGAACGTTTTAGTCAAAAAAGCTCCACGCTTCATTCATAATTTTAATAATACTATAAATAGATTGCTTCAGTTGGAGGAATCTCTTGTTCTTTTTTTTTTTTGGCATCTCTTAATTTTTTGTCATTTGCAAAAGACTCCAGGTTTTTCTTAAGATGCTTAAGGCCATGTTTGGTTTGAAGGAAAAGGTAGAGAAAGAAAGGAAAACCAATACAAGGTTTGTAGAAGTTTCCCTACCTTTCACTACATTTTCCTTCAAACCAAACATAGCATTAGGGTTTGCAGATTCATCGGCAATTTGGTCTTCATTGTTTTTTTATTCTTTTCATTGTTGTTGATGATTGTAGTATCTGATGTACTCTGCACATTTCTTGAATGAATGAAAATTGGCATTTGTGACTTCAAAAAAAATATATATATCTTCCTCAACCCCCAAAAAAATCAGATTACGAAGCTTACCTGAAGTAGATATCCTTGCGCTAACTCCACAGCGGTGTTTCAGTTTGTATATAAATTAATACGCAAAAGAACACAGAACCAAAAGGTTGAAATAAAAGCCATAAAGAATAACAGCCAAAGCACGGTTTGAACAATTTGAAAACTCCCCTAATCCATCAATGGTCGCCTTAAATATTAAACGATCGTCGGTATGGTATCAAAATAATAATAATAATAATAATAATAATAATAAACAGGTTTAAACTTAAAAGAAGAAATTTAAACCGTGCATAAGAGAAAAACGAAAGAAGGGAAGAATAATTTAATGAACTTAATGGTCATGTGGGTACCTGTTGAAGAAGATGAGAGAGAAGCTGAAAGAAATCAACATCTGCTTTTCTTGCTTGGGCCATGGTTGATTTTCTTTCTGTTGTTTGGAAGAACCGATGACGTTATTCTTTTCGTTATGTGCATGTAATGGCAGCGAAGAGATTATGCATAAATGGTCGGTCAACTGATGAAAGGTAAATATGAAATTGCTATTAATTCCATGTTTTGGGTTTTGGTTAATTGGTTGTATCTAAGGTTAGGCCGCGATTGTTTCTCCGTAAAATGGGTGTTTAGGATAAAAATATCAAGCTATATTTCAATCCTTTGTAATAAAATCTTAATCTAGTTGAAAATGTGAATGGATTTAAAAAATGGGCAGGCGAGTTCTCTACTACTCCTATTGATACAGAAACTGCCAATTCAGATGTGTCGAATGCTAAGGCTTTCTCAACTATCTCTTCAAGTGATCCCACTGTAGTCTCTTCGACTCAACTCAAGGCAACAACAGGAAGAGATGTGGCGATTCTCTAAACTCTGAACTGATTTTGCAAAAGGCCCAAAGAATCGAAATAAATGACACAGTGACTTCAGAAATATATAAAAAAAAAAAAACGGATGTGGCTTTTGATGCTAACAAGGTTTACCAATTTTTGCAATCTCCAACTAAGAAACATTGGATTGCTGTCAATACAAATTGTATTAAAGGTACAATTGACTATCCTCTCAAAATCACTCATTTTCTTGCCCACCTTGGCGGCTTGGCCCACATATTTACTTTGTTTTGTTATGTAATTTTTTAGGCTTGTAAATCAAAAATGATGAAAAGTTGACATCTATTCAATTTTATCGCATTTTGAAGAATATGTAATCATGATCGACGTAAAACTCTACTCCAGTTCAGTTTTGTATGCATTTGGATGGAATTGAATTTTGCATCATGAATCAATATAAAACCTCATCAAGCGTAAAGTTTTACATAAAATTGATGTAAAACTTTACACCAATCATATCACGCTTTTCAAAAGTAGAATAGTCACTTTTTCAGGGTTCAATGTAAAATGTCATCGGTTTACTTCTACACCGATTTCAAATGCAAACTTAAGTTATATTTATGTTTATGCTGAGATATGTTATATTTGGGACACATGCCATGTTATGTGTCAGTAATCCTCTATTTTCTTATGGGTTTCTGGTTGATAAAAATAACATTTTTTGCCCTTAATATCAATAAAAATAACATTTTTGCCCTTAATATCAATAAAAATAACATTTTTTATATAATAACCAGAATGAGATAGTTTTTTTTTGAAAAAAATATCGGCATTAGGCACTGTTGCTCGCCTTCCTCGTCTGTATTCGGATGGCTTCTCTGTTTACGTTTATCCTCGATAACTCTAAGTTGAGTAACGAACTCTCAGTCGAACCAGGACCTTCAATCCATCAGCCATGTGTATCATCAAGAGTGGAACAAAAGCAAGCTCCTCCAATCCAACCGGCTTGAACCCGAGCTGCTTCAGCAGTGAAGGCATCACGTACTTCATCTGAACAAAAGCCATCTCCTTCCCCAGGCACACCCTATGTCCGGCTTGAAACACCGGGAACTTGAGGCACCGCTCGGACCCAAGACACAATGCTCGTTTAATCTTCAGACAGCGAAGACGAGAGCGGATGCACGCTTGGGGCTTATCTCAGAGGCTATGTCGAAAGCTCCGGCCAAAACCGATACGAGAAGCGAAGAATCCAAGCAACCAGGATCGATTCCCAACGACACCATGCACACTGTGTCAAAGGCGAACCTCCTTAATAGGTCCTGCAGGTCTACTACTTGGTTAGTTTCCATTGCATATGCAAGTACCGGTGTCAAGCAATCTTTCACTACTTCCTCCAACATCTTCCCGACGAACTCCCGCAACGACTTGGTGCTGAACTCATGGCTTGCTAACTTGCGTTGGGCATGCCAGAGTTTCCCATCCACATCGAATATACCGCAGCCGAGCAAGTCTCCCAGGATGTCGATGAAGGGTTTGCCATGACAACTATCCATCTTGCACCGAAATGGCATACCATGATTGTCTGCATCGGGGACTCCGTGAGGAGGTCCATGTACTAGTGTAAGAGGCGGCAATGGTTATCTTGTAAAAGGAGATCAAACACCCAATTAGAGGGTAGGTTGGTAGGCCATCGTCGGAGGACTTAGATAGAGGCAAAGGAAGATGATCAACAGTGGCACTGCCCTTGTTTGATATTTTCCCAAAAAAAAAATCCCGTTTTGGTTATTATATAAAAATATTATTTTTATTGATATTAAGGGAAAAATTGCCCTAACCTGCTATTAACCATTTTCTTATCCCATCGTAGCTTTATATAAGCAGCCTTGTATATCTTTTGAAATAGATGAATGAAAAACAAACACTTGCTCATGAAGTTTCTTTTCTCCTTCTCTTGTCTAAAAAGAAATACAGCACGTCTACTATCTTCTTTTTTGTTTTTTCTTTATTTTTGTTTTTCGGGCTTTTCTTTTTCCTCTCTTTCATTTCTTTAGGTCGCCAAGAAAGATGAACTCCTTTAAATATGTTGGGATATTTCCTTTTCTACTAACAGATAACACCCATCTAATACCCCCCCTAAAGAAAATGACATCCATCAAATGGTTGGCCCAAGAAGGGTATTCAGATTTTTCTGCAAATTAAGTCAAAACAAATCTCTACTAATAAGGGAAGGTCCAAGGATTAAGGTAAGATTCTAGTATTTGTTCAAGTTTTTATCCATAAAATCATCTCACCAGCTTGCAAGTTGTATAACGTCGATACTTCCTGGCAATAACTGAGAACTCGTTTACTTCCTGGCAATAACTGAGAACTCATTTCCATTGAGAATATCCATCCATGTAAGGAACCAAAGTTGGTCTAATAGGGTATCCTTTTCGGCTTTTCTTAACGTGAACAAAACTTTATAGGCCTTGGACGGGTGTTCCTACTTCTTGGTATACAAGGAATCGATTTATCTATAAAAATGACAGAGCTTTGCATACAATTCCTTAGATTCATTGTCAAAATAAATGAGACATAAAATGAATTTTTTAAAGGGAAAATTCCACTTTGTTCCCTTTACTTTGGGGATAATGTCAAGTTAGTATCCGAACTTTCAAACGTGTCACTGTAGTACATAAACTTTTAAAAAGTGTCAAGGTCCCTGCTGTTAATCGACCATCAATTATCTGTTGAAGATGTCAAAACTACCCTTTAAAAGAAGTCGGTGTTCATTGTCTTTTACCTTGAGACTTAAACGGTTGAGATGTTTGAGATTCTACACTAATGAAGTCATTGTCTTCTACCTTCAAATCTGAAACACATTCTTGTCTAGTTATTTCTTTGCTTTCAGTTATTGTTTTCCTCTATCATATTTCATGTTTTTGATCTCTTTTTCTTTTAAGGTAACCGGTTCAGTCTCAAAGTAGAAGACGATGAATAGTGTCTTTTTTTTAAGGGTAGTTTTGACATTTTTAACAAATAACTAACGGTTGGTTAACAGTAGAGATCAACTTGACACTTTTTGAAAGTTTAGGTACTGCAGTGACACGCTTGAAAGTTTGGGTACCAACTTGACACTACACCCAAAGTTTAGGATAATAAAGTGGAATTTTCCCTTTTTTAATTAAGGAATAGATTGAAGCAATGAGATYCATTATTCACATATCTATTTATAATAGGAATGCAAATACTTTCTAGGCTCATGGAGAAAACTGAGAAGACAGAGGGACTCGAGGGATTCAAAATAAGTCAAAAAGGAACACCCATTACACATTTACTCTTTGCTGATGATCATATGATAATGTGCAATGCAGAACCAAATCAAGTGAAAAAAATAAGGATATTCTTAAGACATTTGAAGAACTTACAGGACAAAAAAAATAAACAAAATAAAATCAAGTGCTCAATTTAGTAAGGGAGTACATAAAAGGAAAAGATAACTGTTGTTAAAGCTCCTTGAAATTAAACAAATGAAAATAGGAGAGAAAAGTACTGTGGAACAAAAATTCAGTTTGGAAACTCAACCAAGAAATTTGAGGGAGGATATAATAAGGAAAATGGAAACTAGGAGGCTCTCGATTTGGCAAGCAAAACTCATGTCTCAAGCTGGGAGGACAAGTATGGTAAAAGCTGTCCTCCAAGTTACTCCTACACAAACAATGGGGAATTCCTTGCTACAAAAACTGAATCTCGGAAACTTCCGGTGGGGGATACAGATACAAATAAAAAATAAAAAAATCACCCATACAATACCTTGGGATGGGATATTTGTAGAGAAAAAAGATGGTGGCCTAGGATTCAAGAGAATCAAGGAGTTTAATAAAAATCTATTCATGAACAAAGTCTGGCACCTATTAACTAACCAAAAACGCTTGTGGGTGAAGGTGATAAAAGGAAAAATACTTAAGACTCAGTTTGGAAGGAGTACAAATACAAATATGTAGAATGCAAAACCTTGTATTTTGTATATATTTTTACTGTACATATTTATATTTGTACTCCTTCCAACTGAGCCTAAAGAAATAAATCCATCTTCACAGTGAAAAAGAAGTATGATTCTCTCTGGTGGACGCAGGTAGTTACTGTAATAAATCAGATAAAAAGATACCTAATTTGGCAAATCAAGGATGGCTCATTTGTGTTCATTTCAGACCCTTGGGTCCCAAGGGAGTGGAGTTCCTATTCTTAAAGAGAATACACAGATGGCAGACCAAATCAGAATGGTAAGTGAGTTGTTGAATGAAGATGGCTCCTGGAATCTTTAGTTGGTTGGCCAATTGTTGGGTGCATATCTTCCAAACAATAATATCTTCGAATATTTCCCATGATATGCTGCTTAGGAAAAAATCCAAGAAAGCAGTATATGATGTGAAATTGGGATATAAAGTTTTCACAGAGCACCTCCCCTCCTAGACAGGGCAGAGTGTGGACTTGGAAATTATTTTGGCATACCAAAACTCTCATGAGATTTCAAAAATCTTTATGTGGAAAGTTTGGTGGAATGAGATACTCACCAAAGAAAGGTTTCATTTTCTTCCAAACGCAGAGAAATA